GGCGAGCGCTGTTGGGAAGAGGATCGTGCTGCCAGGGACGCATCAAGGAAGCAACCGAGACATGAAGCGGAGGCAGATGGACGCCATGGCACTGGTGCAGACATATGGGAAGCCTGACATCTTTTTGACTATGACATGCAATCCTAGCTGGGAGGAGATACTGAATGAGCTGCTTCCTGGCCAGACACCGCAGGACCGACCAGATCTTGTCGCACGCGTGTTCAAGGCCAAGCTAGAGACCATGAAAGAGATGTTGTTCAAAAAGCACATCCTTGGTGTTGTGGTAGCGCATGTGTATGTCGTCGAGTTCCAGAAGAGGGGCCTCCCCCATGCACACTTCCTGTTGATCATGAATTCAAATTATAAACTCGTGGTGCCAGAGCAGTATGACCGCATCATATCTGCAGAGCTCCCAGACAGGCATAAGTATCCAGAGCTCTATGCCATGGTCGTGAAGCATATGATGCACGGCCCATGTGGCAATCTTAATCCCAAAAATGTGTGCATGCAAGACTTGAAGTGCAAGAGCAAGTACCCACGACCGTTCAACCAAAACACCTTACAAGGGAAGGATTCATACCCGGTTTATCGACGGCGAGACGATGGTCGTCAGGCTAAGGTCCGTCGTCAAATGTTGGATAACAGATGGGTCGTGCCTTACAACCCTTATCTGTTGCGGATGTTCAACTGCCACATAAATGTCGAGGTGTGCTCCAGCATCAAGGCCGTCAAGTACCTTTACAAATACGTATACAAGGGTCACGATCGAGCTTCATTTAGCATTGACCAGCCTGACAGCAACGGGGTTGTAGACGAGATTAAAAGGTACGTTGATGCGAGATGGGTTACTCCACCAGAGGCAATGTGGAGGATATTCGGCTTCAACCTTTCTGGGAGTTTCCCGTCGGTCCTACAGTTGCCGCTTCATCTCCCTAATATGAATAGTGTCATGTTCAAAGCAGGAGAGGACCTGACTGATGTCGTCGCCCGTGATACTGCATCTAAGTCAATGCTGACAGAGTATTTCCTTGCTAATCAGCAGCATGTGTGGGCTCGGGATATCCTGTACAAGGACTTTCCGGGAAGTTTCACATGGCAGAGACAGAAATACTGGAGGCCGAGAGAAAAGCAGCACCAAGTAGGTCGAATCGTGTCGGCCCATCCAGCCGAGGGGGAGCGGTACTTTCTGCGAGTGCTGCTCAACCATGTACCAGGCAAGACATCCTTCGAGGACCTGCGGACCGTGGGCGGTGTGCTCTGTCATAGCTTCCGTGAGGCTGCCGAGAGATTGGGCCTCATCGAGGCCGACAACACGCTTGACGAGTGTCTTATAGAGTCAACACAGTTCGCGATGCCAGCCTCACTCAGGAGGCTCTTTGCAACAATCTTGGTATTCTGCGAGCCAGGTGACGTGCGCGGTCTATGGGATAGGCACCTAGAGGCAATGTCTGATGACTACGGCCGATCACACACGTGCTCAAAGGCAGTGGAGCAGATGGTGTTGCTTGACATAAGGGGCATGCTACAATCCATGGGCAAAGACATAGTGTTGTTCCCTCTTCCGGACATCGATGAGACCTATGACACTACTGGAGGCGAGGCCAGAGAAGTCACCGAGGAGTCCTCCATCGAGGTTGACGCGAACGATGCTGGTTTAGCGTCCTCGCTAAACCCTGAGCAGAGGCTTGCATACGACGAGATACTGGCAACAGTCGATGCTGGTGATGGGGGTGTATTCTTTGTCGATGGCCCGGGAGGCACTGGGAAGACCTTCCTATACAAGGCACTGCTCGCAAAGGTTCGAGGCGAGGGCAAGATCGTGGTGGCTACGGCGACGTCGGGCGTCGCGGCTTCCATCATGCCTGGAGGAAGGACAGCCCACTCGAGGTTCAAGATCCCACTCAGCATTGAAGATGGGGGGTCGTGCAACTTCACCAAGCAAAGTGGAACGGCCAAGCTCCTGCACATGGCTTCACTCATCCTATGGGACGAGGCCACCATGACGAAGCGACAAGCGGTTGAGGCACTGGACAATAGCATGCGGGACATCATGGGACGACGGGACCGACTATTCGGGGGAAAGACTGTCGTGTTCGGTGGGGACTTCAGGCAGGTGCTTCCGGTCGTCAGGAAGGGGTCACGGGGTCAGATAATTGATGCGACCTTGCGGAGTTCGTACATATGGAAGGGCATGCGCCACCTAAGGCTCCTCACCAACATGAGGGCGCATAACGACCCGTGGTTCGCAGATTACTTGCTAAGGGTAGGCAACGGCACCGAGGAAACCGACGAGGAAGGCAACATAAGGCTCCCAGAAGATATTTGTGTGCAGCCAACAGAAGACGGCGTTGACCTAGAGAAGCTAATCGACCATGTATTTCCTGCTCTAGACGACAACATGGCTGATCCAAATTACATGACATCTCGAGCGATCCTCTCCACCAAGAACGACAACATTGATAAGGTAAACACACGCATGATAGAGCGCTTCCAGGGCGAAGAGAAGATCTACCACAGTTTTGATATTGCAGAGGATGATCCACATGGCTACTATGCCCCCGAGTTCCTGAACAACCTAACTCCCAACGGGCTGCCTCCGCATGCGCTCAAACTGAAGTTAAATTGCCCCGTTATACTGTTGAGAAACATTGATCCAGCTAATGGGTTGTGTAACGGCACAAGGCTTGTGGTCCGGGGTTTCCAAAGGAACGCCATCGACGCAGAAATCGTGCTAGGACAACATGCTGGTAGGAGGGTGTTCCTTCCTCGGATACCTCTCTGCCCATCCGATGACGATATATTCCCTTTCAAGTTCAAGAGGAAGCAGTTCCCTATTAGGCTCAGTTTTGCCATGACAATCAACAAGGCACAAGGGCAGACCATCCCGATTGTCGGGGTGTACCTACCAGACCCGATATTCTCTCACGGTCAGCTCTACGTCGCATTGTCTAGAGCCACTGCGAAGAGGAACATTAAGATTCTCGCCATCAAGGACAACGACAATGGTAAGGGCAAGGGCAAGGGCAAGGGCAAGGAACAAATCAATAATTCAAATAAGCGAAAAAGATCTGAGCCCTTATTAACGACCATGAAGAACATAGTCTACAAGGAAGTCCTTAGCACATGAGGTCGCCGGATCAAATTATAGCAACTCAAGGTAAAGTATTCAATTCTGCATTACAACCACATACTATTGTAGATCTTAATGCACACTGACCTGAGTTTGTTGCTGCGTAGTACTCGAGGGAGCATGGTCAGTCTTCAGAAACCATGAGTATTCCTTTCGCGACATCTGCCCGTCCTATACTTGGTCAAAGATGGACCTGTTTAAGCTGGAAATAACAAGAGACAGCGTGAAGTTTCCAACATATGCAGGAGGAAGATGCTTGGACAGTGACTTGGTAAAGAAGAACAAAATTACTAAGGTTTCATATTTCTTTCTAATTCATCTGCTTCTCAATATGGTAAAAACCTGAGGCATCTAATATCATATAGAAATAAAAATAATGACTTAAACTTCAGTTGCATAGAATCTCTTGTTAGAAATACATGGATAAGGAACTACGTATCTCTACTCCTAATGGAGCAGTTCGTACGTCATTCGTTGGTACTATTAGGTGGTGTTATATATACTGATATTTTTTTAGTGAAATAAGGGAAGGCACAATGAAATTCAGACAAACTGAATCAGCCGGAGTCAGATAATGTGAGCAAAGTGTGTGCAATAGCTGCAGCAATTGGCGTCTCCCGGTCTGTTCCAGCAAGGAGCTCTATCATAAATAGTCTCATGTGCATATAACTAACAAGTAAAAATAAGCACATTATAAGCTTGGAATTCCTCTTACCTTATCAATATGATTTCCTTTAACTGCTTTGTCAGCTCTTCAAATAGAACCTACAAATATTGAAAGTAAGCTATAAGCATTGTCTCTTTAGATTGCTTGTAATGGTAGCATAATGCTTGCTTCAAGCAAACAATTGGTGTCGGTTAGAATTAGTAACAAGTTTTCTGTCATCGACAATGGAGAGAAGACAAACAAAGAACTGGAGGATAAAAGACATGTTAGTTCAGCTGATGATTAATCGCTTGGAAGCATAAAACCATCTGAAGTTACTGTGCACTGGGAGAATGTTTGTATAGGTTAAAGCATAGAAGCCACACAGTATGATCCTATTTGAACACTAAAATATATTACATATATAGACATCACTTACAAGGCATCCATAATCACTGACATCAAGCTTCATAATCTGCTTCTTCAAGATTCTGATAATATGCGTCCTAACCTGAAAATCATTACTGTGTTAAATTGCAAAAGCACACTGGAAATAAGCGAGAAGGAAAATAATACTGAATATGCAGTGTGAGGCACTAACTATTGTACAGTTCAATTTGCATGACTATTTAGTGTCTCTAGAATCTGCAGAAGTTAATAAATAAATATCGGATAAAACAAATGAGTGGGCAAAGTTAAACCAAGTGATCACTCTGAAATATGTCTCTTAAGATATAATAAGAAAATGGAAAGAGAAAAAAATAACAGAAAATGTACCTTGCCACTCTCTTGAGTGTGAGAACCACTACACACATGTCTGACAAAAAATGGTGGCTATCAGAATAAGTACCAAAACACCATATGCAACGCATTCATAAAGAATGAGTGTCAGCAACTTAGTTGAAGAACAGATGCGTTTACATGGGATCCAGAAATTCCAAATATTTCCAATCCATTTTACGGAGGGCCTCGGTAACTAGCCTGTAGAGATGAGAAATCCATGTACATAAGAAGTTGAACATATGTCGCAACTCACAAGGCTTTGATAGTGACACTTACTTGATTATATCCTCCTTGCTCAAATGACGACCTATCATCTTTCCCCATAGTACTTCGATGTCCTGTTAATATTTAGGTGCCGCGAGCAAACAAAATTAGAGTTGCCCAAAATATGGTACTGAATCATCATAAACAGAGGTGGCGATTCAGGCACAAATTGCAACTTGTCTACTGGAATAAAATTATGGCATCACATACAGAAACTGATACTACTAGAAACATGATGAAAGTAACAATTACTTTCTTAAGGTTGTAGTCGGGCTTCCTCGACTCCGACACTTCCTGCCATGCAGTCAAGAACATTCCGGTTTCAGCTCAAACTCAAGCAGCCCATACTCTAAATCAACACCCATGCTCCAACGATGCGTACCTTAGCTGTGACCCGCTTTTCCTTGGCAGTGACGGGCTGCGGCTTCCCCTTGGTGCCGCCGCCGCCGCCTCGCGATTCCTCTTGTTGGTGGTCGCGGCCACCGACCATGGCGACGCTAGGTGGTGCTGGCAAAGGGAGGAAGACGGACGGAGAGCGAGGGTTTCTTGGTAGAGCTGGAGGAAGGCTCTGTCATCGCGCTAAGCTTCGCCGCCGCCCCATCGTCGGAATAACCTGTCGGGCGTGGATGGCGGTGGATCGAACCAATCGAGCCACCGTGGCAGTCGGAGGAGGATGCGGACGAAGCCATCGAGGGAAGGGAGGACGGGCTCGGCGCGCGACATGGAGGAGAGATGGCTGGGAGAGGAGGGGCCGGCCGACGCCGTGGAGGGGAGACAAGAATGCGGCGACGCCGTCTATGGACGGGAAACGGCAGGGACGGGATCAGGCTCGAGCTGAGAGAGTTAGAGGACTGTGTGATGCCGTGAGGATAAGATGTATAGTATTTCTTTGAGAACTGGATAAGATGTATAGTAGGTGGAAAAGAAAACACAGAAGAAATCTATCAGTCTCTAGCTCGGCCCGTCCACTCTTGGGCTGGCCCATCCGCTGCTCAAAGAGTTTTGGGCCCTGGATGAACGCCTCAGGCTGTCTAAAAAAATCTAATTAGGGGTACTCAGTTAGTTTTATTTCCTCGTCAAATAAAAGTTAGTTTTTTTTGCAAATTTGTCTAAAAAACATTTTTGCAAATATAAAAAGTTGTGTTAGTCTCACTTTTATTTTAATTTATTATAAATGTTTATATAATGTAGTATAAAATATTTCTTATATTTTTATATGTTTATATGTTTAAGTTTTCTTCAACGGAGATTAAAAAGTGATGGACTTGGATAGTGTTTTAAAAATAGCAACTGACATAGGCAATGACGTAACAATGATGGGTCGTACTGAAACATCACGAGAAAATAATCCTTCTTTATATGTATGTTATACATAATAATACAAAAGGTACATGTTAAATATGATTATTTGCATATATGTGAGAGATAGAGATGTATTCTGGTGACGTTCACGAAGTATTCATGCTAACTACATAGTGTTTTTGCGCAGGATGGGAATGAGTTGAGAAAGAAGTTTGTATTATATTTGATCAAATATCGTGTGAATGATGTTAAAGACAACAATCTTGATATTATGTGAGAATATTTTAAGCGTATCAAGCAATTCTTAATTTGTAACAAATTGTTAGTTGGATAATCGCTCTATATGTATACATCGTCAAATTGCCTTTTTTAGTCATTTTACATTGCAAGTGAGGTGAACTTCAATTATTACCTGGTTATGGTTGTGCTATCTTTTTTCTATATGTAAAATTTAACATGCATTATGTTCATATAACATCTGTAAAATATTTCAAAAGCCCGTAGCAACGCACGGGCATTCTACTAGTGTAGATAGATGGTTGAAGTACCGCAGCCGGTTTCATTTACAAGATCGCCCCCCAGTCATCCAAAACTACATGCGGTTTCAAAATCACAACCGACTCTGCTGGTTGCTACAAGCGGTTTCAAATTCCAACTGCCCTCACCGCAAAAATAACCACCCCCGGCGGATTATTAGTTGCGGCTTTGTCACGTCGGGAAGTAAGAACTTCCGTTTTACAGTTTCTAGTGCCCACTCAAGCTCACGAGAGCAACTATATTAGCTTCCCTATTACAATATTCAAAAGTAACATCACCAAAATTTGGCTGATATTTTCGCTCGGCTCTCGCGCTCGCGCTCGCGCAGGCGCAGGCGCCGCCGCCGCCGGCTGATCTCCCCCCTCCGGCCACCTCAGGCCCAGCCAAGCACAGATCCGGGACCCTCCCGGCGTCCTCTCTCCATCCATCCCGAAGCCCGGCGCCGTCTTCGCCAGCCCTCTCCCCGCGGAGGAGTTCCAGTCGGGCCCTCCCCCTCCTCCTATCCCGCTCCCGTGCGGCCGCGCCGGGGCGCCCCTGCTGGCTCGAGCAGGCCCCCCTGCGCCTCCCTCTCTTCTCGCCGCCACCGGAGGCGTCGCCGGGCAAAGCCCTGGCGGCGCGGCGGCGGCGGGACCCCTCGGTCGCCATTCTCGAGAGCGGGGGCGGCGCTGCTCCGCTGCTCCAAGCGGTGATGCTGCGGGACGGTGGTGCGTGGCTGGGCGTGCTCGGCTCGGCTGAACTTGGTGCTCAGTCGGGCGCTGCTCGACGGGCGGTGGAGGCTGGATCTCGGGGCGGCGGTCCTAGGACAGTGGCGGGTGACGGCGGCTGCGGTGTTCACGTGGGCGAAGCAGTGGCCGTGGTATGCCGACTGGTCCAGCCGGTCTTCGGTCGTGGGGTGCGGCTGCTGGTGAAAACCATGCCTGACTGCATTCGGGGTGACGATGGCGGCGTCCACGGGCGTCGTGACCCTGTTGAGGGCGTCGTCGCTGCAGCTCGTCTCCTGACTGAGTTTCCGGCTGTGGGGACTGGTGGATGGTGCTAGTCCAAGATGGTGGCTGACGGTGTTGCCGGAGCGGTGGCCCCGGGTTCGGTGGTGGCGGCTTCGGCCAGGGGGTGGTGCGTGTCTGACCGCGGTGAATCGTGGGATCCCGTGGCCAGAGTGAGGTCGGTCTCGGCAGAGGTGGTGGTTAGTGGGCGGCGGTCGGTGGTGGCAGGTGGTCGGCACATCTCCGGGAGAAATCCTTGCTCCGGTCTTCACCGGAGCCGACAATGGCAACGCCTGCGGGTGCCACAATCTTTCTTGGAAACGTCGTCGTGGAGGTGCTCCTCCTTCAACCCATGGCTTTGGCTCTGGAGGGAAACCTCAGATCCGCCGGATCGGGCGATGGAGGCGTCTTAGTGTCTTTCTCCTCCTTGGGGGCATTGTCTCGGAGCCGGCTACGACCGAGAGACTGGTGGATGATGGCATCTTCGCCGTCGATGGTGGCATCTTCGCCGCGTGGTTTGCTGAGGCGGGACGCTGGTTTCTGTTTGGCAATGATGATGGCGTTGAGAGGAGCTTGGGTCGCGGCGTGGTCTTCGGTAGTCGGTTCTTCCCGGTGTGTCCGAGGTGCTCTTTCGTGTTTGCTTGGTTGCTTTGAAGTCGGAGCTGCGTTGGAGCGAGTCCAGGTGGTGACGGTGATAGACACTCGGCGGTCGTTTGCGGAGGGCACGGTCGGCGCAAGTCCTGCATATTTCCCTTCTGTTTCTCATCGTCGAAGTCAGAGCTGTCGGTTGCTTGCGAGTGTGGCCATCTGTTGGCATGTGCCGTCGTGGATTCTGTTCCATGTCGGTGGCCAGGTTGGCCGGTGGTGCCCATGTCATGTGGGTTGTGTTGTATCGGTTTTAGCCTGGTTTTCCGTTAATTAACCGGGCAATTCTCTTCTTCTTAATCAATGAAAATGGTAAGTCTTTTGCCTCGTTTCAAAAAAAACAATATTCAAAAGTAGTGTGAGGAAAATCAAAATTGATATAATAACAATAACCAAAAACTACCGCCACTGCTCCGGCAGATCGCCATCCATTCTTCATAATACCAATGACTTCAAAATTATCAAAGTTAATAACAAGGCGGCGGCCTTTTTCGAAAGTGACAGACTAAGGTTCTATTTGGTTCATAAGTCCTAGGACTTTTTTTAGTCCCAACTTATAAGTCTCAAGTCTCTAAAAAGTCCCTACCTGTTTGTTTTCTGGGACTTATGAGTCCCTATAAGACCATATTACAACTATAAGTCCCTATAAGTCCCTCCTTGAGAGTCTTATTTTATAAGTCCCAAATGCCCACTTTAAGTCCCTATAAGTCCCTCCTGTTTGGTTTAGATGGGACTTATAGGGACTTTTTTAAGTCCCTAAGCCAGTAAGTCTCTGGAAACAAACACCCTCTAAATTTCAGTGCTAAAGCTTCGACTGTCAAGACATCAACACACCAATCAATTTTCCAGTTACGTCTTGCGATGAATTTCCCACTGGTGTGTCTTAGAACTGCACCAGCCAAGCCCCTAATAAAGTCTTGATGAACAGATGCATCTTCATTAAGTTTAACAATTCCCACACGTGGTCAGGTCCACCCCTCTTTATTCATGGGTAGCATTAAAAAGCAATAACCTAGTTTGCGGCCAGGGCACAAATCCCCATAGTAATCTTATTAAGGTCTTGATATTCTCTTCATGAAATAGCTTACGCCTTTCTCACAAAAAATACCTAGCAGTAATGATGATCCACTCAAGAATATAAAGACCCGAGCACTAATACGTCCGTGAATAGCACTCACTAGTAGAAAAGAGGCCAACAGTCCAGGCCGGTCTAGCCCATTAGTCCCGGTTCAATCCAGAACCGGGACCAATGGGGGCATTGGACCCGGTTCGTGAGCCCCAGGGGCCGGCCGGGCCACGTGGGCCATTGGTCCCGGTTCGTCTGGGTTCTATTGGTCCCGGTTGGTGGGACGAACCGGGACCAATGGCCCTCGCTCCTGGCCCACCACCATTGGTCCCGGTTGGTGGCCTGAACCGGGACCAAAGGACGACCATTAGTCCCGGTCCATTCCACCAACCGGGACTAAAGGGTTGGTCCTCGTTGCGGCCAAAGTTTAGTCCCACCTCGCCAATCGAAGGGAATCAGACCGGTTTATAAGCCCCTCCCTCTCTGCCTTATTGAGCTCCTCTGAAAATGAAAATAGATGCCTTATATAGGGAATTTAGGCTAAATTCATACGAATTTCTCTTGAAATTTGTTATGAATTTAATTTGAATTTCCTCTATAAGCGCATCTATGCTCATTTCTGAGTAGCTTTTTATATAATTTTTTTTCTGCTATATTTATTTTTTTCTTTTTATTTCTGAGTTGTAATAAGTCATTAAAAATAAGCATCTATGCTCATTTTTTAGTAAAATTAATCATAACTATTTTCCCTTCTATTTATTTTTGAATTGTAATAAGTCATTAAAAATAAGCATCTATGCTCATATTTTAGTAAAGTTAATCACAACTATTTTTTCTTTTTTTTTATTTCTGAGTTGTAATAAGTCATTAAAAATAAGCATCTATGCTCCTTTTTTAGTACAGTTAATCACAACTATTTTTTGCTTCAATTCATTTCTGAGTATCTTTTTATATAGT